CCCCCCCCCGCCTGCCTGCCCACTCTGCCGTGCCTGCTCTCCCACACCGGGCCGGTGTCTCGCAGCGGCGAGAGCATCCCGTTTTGCCGCCTGTTTGACTCTTCCATCCTCACCCGCCGTTGGGTAGGACCTTCCTCGACTCGCAGGTGCCTCGGGAGAGCTGCGGCTGGCCTGGAGGGGGCTGCTGCTCTGCGGGGGTAAGGATGGAAGAGCCCGGGCCCGGCGGGGACCTGCAGCGTTGCGAGGGGAAATGGGATTTTTTTTCCTTTGGGCCGCACTGGCCCAAACGCACCTTGTTCGGTCGCAGCTGCTACGTTCAGCTTAACGCTGTATTAAATGTCCAGGTAAGACGTTATTTTTTTGGAAGGGTCTGTGCAGCCTCTGAATCGGTGCAAAACAATTGCCACACACACGACTTGTCGGAAGACGGGGAGGGGGAAAGGGGAGAGGATTCCGCTTAGCTACAAAGTCTCTGTAGCCCCATACTTCATAATCTGCTTGCCCATACAAAGAGAAAATGAAGTGCCCGTTCCCTGAATGACCGTGCAATAAAAGTCATCGGAACAAAGCGGTCTAAAGCGAGAAACCAAGGGAGCCAGATGAGAAATAAATTTGAGTGGGCTGGCAGAGCGTTTAAAAACAATTAAAGGGCATTAAAAATCCGAGCGGAACGCGTGAGCCGCGGCTGCCCGGGGGGTGGAAGGAGGCCTCTCCTCCGCAGCCCCCTGAAGAGCCCGATGGACGGGGCGAACACCCTTCACCGCCTCCTCGCTCCCTCCCAGCTCGGACACCGACTGACCCCGGAGCCGGCAGCCGGCTGGCCGTCACCCCCTCCCGCTCCGGCCGTGGGGGCTGGTTTGCGGCTCCGGGGGTAGGAGCCGGCCCGAGGCTTGGCGAGGAGGCCGAGCTGCGCTGGGCTGCCCCGACACCTGCGACCCGCACCCCGCCGCCGCCCCCGGGGGACCCCCGGCCCGCTCGCCCCGCGCTCCCCTCCGGCCCCAGCCAGCGGATCCGCGGCCGAGGAGAGGGACGGGGGAGGCACGAACCCGAGCCGAAGGCAGAAATAAATCGGTGCGTCTGCCTCTCGCCCCCCTCCTTCCCCGGACAAAACCGGGGGGGCCGTGAAAGCCGCGTGCCCCCGCCTCGCCGGGGCTCCAGGGGCGAGGAGCCAGCCGTGGCACGTCCTGGCCCTGCCGGGGAAGGGGCAATGCCCGAGTGAGCGGAGCCCCGCGGGGCGAGGGTCGGGCGGCGGGACTAGCGCCCTCCGGCACCGGGCACCGGGCACCGGGCACCGGGCGGCGGCGGCGCTTTCGGCACGTCTGTGTTCAAGGCGGGGGCGCGTCCGCTCCTCCGGGAGAGCCCCCGGGTCCCCCGGCCGGGCTAGCGGGGCCCCGGCGCCGGGGAGGAGGGGGAGAGGGCACGGGCGGGCCGGCTTTCCTGGCAAAGCCGCGAGGAGACATCTCGGGACGCTCTGGAAACGCTTCCCTTCCCTTTCCTGGCTCGCTCTAAGAAGGGAGGATGGAGGCGAGAGGGGAGGGAAGAGCAGCCTCTTCTCCCGAGCCGGCTTCCCCCGCGTCAACGAAAAAGCAAGGTCCAGCGGTGCAGGAGAGACGGTAGGAAAATACCTTTTTTTTGGGTCCTGGCTCCCTGCGGTCTGAGAGGTACTTGCCCAGTTTGAAGATGCCCGGCACAGGACCCAGGCGCAGCCCCGCCGGGATGCAGCTCTCCGCGCTCACGCTGATGGCCGGAGCCCTGCTGCTTTGCATCGCTGCCTCTGGGTGTGAGCGCTCGGGAACCCCAACTACTTAAGGGGGCCGGAGTGACAGCGGCGGGAGGACGAGCACAGGCGTATCTCCGCCCGCAGAGTGACGCGGCGGTGTGTGGACGCCGGCTTTTCAACGGGAGCAGGAGGGGTACCCCTTGGCAGGGGGATGCTCTGGGGCGCAGAGTTTGGTGAGAGAGTTTGGCTCCTCGAGCAGCTGCGGAGTCCCATCCAAGAGGGTCACATGGAGCCTTTCCCTAACCCTCCTGCATAATCAGGCGGAGTGAATGGCTGGCAGACAATGGGCCAGGCGACCTTCCCATTCCTAAAAATCCAATTTGTCAAGGGCAAAGAAAAGGCGCTGGTGAATCAAAGGTCTGGAGGGACCATTAATCCTCAGCATGGGGTATTGTCCCCGAGACAGTTACGATATTTTAAGTGACAAATCCACTGTATAATTTCTCCATAAATTTTACTTCCTTTTATTGTTCCTCGACAAACCAGTTTTGGAAAATAAGTGACTATTTTAAGTCTACTTGGCTGAGCCTTTTGAGGTTTAATATACTTCAAAGATTTTTAATTCTCTTCCCTTGGCTTTATTGTAAAGGAGATTAAACAAAGAGATGGGGAATGTTTTGAGGACTTGTTAACTTCTATTGATTCCCGGCGTGTGCCATACAGAAATTGGGCAGGTACTTGATGGGAAAACACCAGAAAATACCTACACTTTTTTTTTTTTTTTTTTTAAAGAACGACCATATTACCATTTCAGTGGGTTGGTTTCAGGCCAGTAATCTGTTCAGAAGAGCTTTGATCCTTAAGGAGGATGAATAGCGCAAAATATGAGCCGCCGTAGCCCCTGTAAAACACAACCCGCTGCATCTGCGAGCGCTAGGGAAGCTGTGTCTGTAGATCGTGCGATTAAGAAATAGAGACAGGAGGAAATAGAGACATACAGCCACCAGGAAACAGAGAGGCACGGCCAGCAGATAACACAGATCTCTAGCGAACAGCGTGCAGCTGGATTCCTCGTTTAATACATCCACAGGTTCCTCTCCCGCACGCAAAATCGCTTGCACCGAGGCCGCTTTCGGAAGTGGAACCTACAAAAAGCCACTGTAAATAAAGCCAGAACGAAGCGATTGGGACAGACTGCGTCTATGTCCCTCCTCTTCGCATAAATATTTTAATTAAGATACAACGAGGCGCTAGGATTATGTCGGCTTATAAATCGCGCTGGGTAAATGTCCCAAGATTTTTCCAGGAGGTGAAAAGGAAAGGTGTGCGACTTTTTTCTTACGCACGTGCGACAGTCCGGATGTGCCTGTCAGACCAAAGAGTACAGTTACACATTCGATTTTCCACTTTCGCTTTTATAGTCCTGTCTAATTCGTGCTAGCAGGTTTTCTCTGCTCCATACCTCGCTAACTCTCCAAAAAGAAGATTTCTGAACCTTTCTCCTGCGGAGAAGTCGCACAGGCAGATTTTATCCATTGCTTTCAGAAGCAATTGCAGATATGGGGCTTGCTTTTTTTTTTTTTTTCCCCTGCCCTTTTCCTAATAGTCAGACCTAACAAATTTCAAAAGAAAACCCGGAAAGCTACGTTTGGAGGTGTTATCTGCCGATAGGTGCCAGGTAACGGAGCGGGCTCTTCTCAAGAAGCACCTCTTTCAGCAAGATAAACCCCGGCACGTCGCTTTCCATGTGACGGCCAGCGCGGGCTTTACTCTGGGTTATGTCTGCCGCCGTCACGAGTGGGAGCAAGGGCCGCAGGGACGCGCGGGGCGGGGGCACACGAGAGGGATTTCGAAGCGGCGCGTCTCCCGAGTTGCCCGTCGCAAAGATGCTCTTTCCCCTCTCCCTGCCCGGCCCGGCAATTCGGGGCTGGCCCTCCCGCCCGCCCCCCGCCGCTGCCGCCGTGACATTCGCCCACGCCGGTCGCTCCGGCCCGGCGGCGGCAGCGCCCGGCCAGCCCTCCGCACGGCACCGGCC